GGGAGGCCCCCAGAAGTCCACACTGCCGGGAACGGTCTCTCAACACCTCCAGGCCTGGCATTCCTTGTAAGCCATTTTGGATATGGAGGGCAGGGGCTGGGTATGGTGGGGGAGCTTTTGATGACAGGCCGATCTCTGAAGAAGGGGTGGCCTTCTCAGCCACAGGGCTAGGTATCATTTGTGTCAGTTATGCATCATGGAACTAATATTGGTGCCTGGGGGGAAAGGGGTGCAGCAGAGAAAGGCCCTTCTGTCCCATGCCCCCCCCGCAAAAAAAAAAAACACCCTTTGAGATCCTAGAGCCTTCTGCCGCCTCTCACACTTATCCCAGGCCAACTCCCTGTAGAATATTCCAGGTGTTTTGTTTTTACTATCTGTCTGAGAAAAATATTTTAGTCTCCCAAACAGAAAGGTCTGACTGATGAGTATATCCAGCCTGTGTGGCCTGTGGCCTGTTTTGTGCGTTTACTCAATTTCTCCCACATTTCTGAGAGGACATTTGTCATCTTTATATTTTGAATACTCATGCTCAGTGTGATTCCTGATCTAAGATGTGTTCCTAAATTGATCTTAAAATAACTTGTAGACTCCCTTTAAAAGGAAATATTTAGCAATTTCACCATGGCTTCATTCTCACAGGTTGAATAAAAGACTCAATGTTAGTTATGCAAAGACAGAGCCACCCAGTCTGCTCTATTTAAGGGAATGATACTTAGTATATCCATTAATGCAAAACCAAGTCCTCCCACTGAACACTGATAACTATGACGCACTGAGACAGGAAAAATAAGTGTCCGAAAGATTAAAGCTAGGCGCAGCCCTGTGGTAGAGAGCCTTTGCTTTCTCCATGCAATGCCCCGGATTCAGTCACCAGCAGCACCAAAATAGCTGTCTACAACAAGACTAAAACAAAATCTGGGAAGTGCTAGTATCCTGACACACAGCTCATTTTCCATATGCACAGTGGCTTTTATAAATCAATTTTTGGGTGCAGGATTTCTCTGTGTAGCCTGGCTGTCCTGGAACTCACTCTGTAGATCAGGCTGGCCTCACACTCAGAGATCGAGAGAAAAACCACCTAGAACTGTGAAATGGTTCTGTGGATAAAGGCACTTACTTGACCACCAAGCCAGCTGACCTGAGTTCGACCCTCCAAAGCCCGCACGGAGAGGAGTGACCCCTGCAAGTTCCCCTGCCCCCTGCACATAGTGCTGTGTCCTGCACATATACAGGCACAGAGTCAGTGGTGTAACTTTAGCAGTTTCTAAATCAGAGTAGAATGGAAGGCACAGTGGCTCATACCTCTAATCCCAACCCTTGAGAAGCAGAGGCGACAGCAGGAGAGCTCTGTCTGTCCAACCCCAGCCTGATGTATGATTTTAAAAAAGGAGTAAAGGGATGGATAAAGTTCATGAAGAGACACCAGATTAAACAGAAATAGACAGTTAATAGATGCCTCAAATCATTAAATATCACTCGTGTCATAGGAAGTGAAAAAGGTTATTAGCAAAGATTCCTCAAAACGTAGTAGTGAGATCTTGGGTGGTGTGGCTCAGAGCAGAACGTTCACCTTCTAGCATGTGCCAAGCCCCAGATGTTCTCCCAAGCATGAGAGAGAGAGAGAGAGAGAGAGAGAGAGAGAGAGAGAGCATGCACCAATATATCATGGGGGCATCACACATATCTGTATGCCCGTACTATTTCAATCTTTTATAACAAGGATATATATTTAAAATTACTAAAAAATAGTATCTCTTGTTAATTTAAACCAGATAGTAATGCCAGTGCTTAACAGACTGAGGTAGGAGGAACATGCGTCCAAGCCAGCCTAGGCCACACATTTAAAAATGTTTCTTAAAATCAAACAAAATCCAGTGAAGCCTGGTTGATCCTACTTCTCAAAATTACTTTTTTGCGGTCTGAGCAAGCTACCTCCACTCTTTTGCCATTTCCTTGCCTTAAAATGTGAGTAGCCATATCTCCAATAACTTACTAATGGGAACTAAAACAGTAGTGTAAAAGGGGTTCTCCTCGTGAACTCTCCGTAAGCAACAGCCGCTGTCAGGGACAGGAAGAAGTGGGTACTTTGACCTTTGATGCTGGAGGAGGCAGAGCATCGTCCATGCTTTTCAGCATTCATCAGTATTTCAACTTTATAATTACCAGTGCTGAGAATGCCACTTCACATAACTGCATAGCAAAGAATGGCGAAGTATACCTGTGAAGGGCCATTTCAAAAATTATTGGAAGTTTTATCATAATCTCAAGGTAGATTTATGTGGTGAATTTTTTTTTTAAATGAAACTTAACTCAGCCACTCAAACAGCAGGATTTTTGTTTTGTTTTGCTTTTTTACAATCTTGCATTCTAAAGTGTAATAACAATCCAGAGGTACAGTAACCTGGTACTTAGAAGAAGGTGTGGCGACAGGAAAGCACTAAATGAGGTTTCCCTTGGTGAAGCCACTGCAGTCTATAGTGCAGCTGCGTGCTAGGCCTCCCGTCTGCCATGTGCCGTGCTCACACTGTGATGCCGAACACAGCTGCGGTGAAGCCATGTGACACCTCAGATCTGCCCCATGTCTTGGGCTGCCGTGTGTTGAGAAACGCTTTGCTGTTGCCAGTTCTTCATGCCCTTCACGTTCAGTTAGGAGACGCTGTATGGGCTGGGCTGTACCGTATGCCCACTAAAGCACTGACACATGGCTTCTGGGGGACACTGCTGTCACCCCGGTTTCCCAGGTTCCCTACCTGCTTCCCCTCACCTTACTACTGCAAGTCTTTTTTCCATTTCTCTAAATGTCCTGGATAGTCTATTACAGGACTCAGGCAGTGTAAAACATTGTGGTTTGCCATTTCCACTTAGTAATTCACTCTTCTGTCTACAGTGATTCATTTTGTTTTGGTTTTGTCCTGTAGACAGTCTCAGTGTAGCCCAGGCTAGCCTCACACTTCTAAGTCCTCGGCCTTTTGAGTGTTGGGATTAGCATGTTTGCCACCAAGCCAGCTGTGGTCCATCGGTTCAGCGACAGAGTGATTCATGCTGCAGCCTGATTACCCAACAACTCAAGAACAGCCGGTTGTTTCCGGTAACATCACTGCAGACATTAATGTACAGTTAGTGTGAAGGCGCATTTCATTTCTTGAATAATGTTTCAGAGTAGCCATTGGGCTAGCCATCTGCGCCATCTCATGTTCACGCCAGCAGCATGAGCCAGCTTCCCTGCAGCCTCACCAGCCCTGATGCGCCATGGATGGTTTCAGCCCTCATCCCATGGGTTTGTGCAGACGCTGTTTCCGTCATTCCCAGGAGGCTGGCAGTGCTGCGTACTGTCTGCCCACTCACCGTACAGCTTTCCCTCTGCTGGCCTCTTCAAGTACGTCCACTTCCCAGTTTGGAACTGTTGAGTTTCAGAGTTCTCTCTTTACTTTGGCCCTCAGAGGAATTGTGAAGTTTCCAGTGTGTCCACCGGTAGCTGCCTGTCCATCCTCTTGGCAGGGCCGCTTAGGAACCAGCATCATAATCTCAGTAAGTCTGACTTGCCACTTTTGCCTTTTATAGATCACCCAAGCGATTTTTTTTTTTTTTCTAAAATCCTTAGAGTTTTGTACTTTGTACTTAAGGCCATGATAGACTTTATTGGGTCTGTGTATGAAAGTGTGGTTTAGTCAAGGGTCTTGTTCTCTTTCTCGCCTTTCCCAGCTCACCCAGCTTTCTCTGCTGGGTTATGTATGCAGTCCTTGTCACACGTCCACCCTGCGTCTCGCTAGGCCAGCTCCAGCTCCAGGCTCTGTGAAGTCATGTCTGACTCTGAGTACCGGCTCCAGTCCCATGCCACTCCCACATCTGGGGTTGAGTAGAGGGCCTGACTCCCCATCTGGTGGATCTTTTCTAAAGACTTTCGCTCTACCTCCTTTGCCTTGCCACACATTTTCAAACAATCTTGTCTGTACAGAGAGTTGGCCAAGGGTTTGGGATTTAACAGTTTGTACTTTTCCACATATGAATCTATACACTTTGTTAGGCTTACCTGTGTGTTCTGTATTTGGAATGTGATGATACTGTTTTTCATTTCCATGTCCGTTGCTAGTGTATGACATTATAATTAGTTAGGGCTTGGGGATCTTGTTTTTTGATACATTTTACACCTTTTCCAAATTCATTTATGGAAGCTTTTGTATAAATTCCTTGGATTCTGTCCGTTACAGGTTTGCTTCTTTTCCTGGCTATAAACTTTTATTTCCATCTTGTTTTCTACCTGGCACCCTGGGTGCAGCTGGAGGGAAAGAGCACACTTCTTAGCCTTTCTCCCAGTCTTGGAGAAAGCAGTGCTAACCCAGCCCTGCAGTGGGCTTCCTGGTGTGCTTGTGGGAAAGGAGCCGTTTTGGGATTGCCGGAGCCAGGAGCCGGCAAATTCCAGCAACCTCCCATAGTAAACAGACTGAGTCCCGGGGTGTTGGGAGGGCGACTGTATAATGCAAAGCACAGAATTTGAAGTAGGTGCATTCAAATTTAAATTTTGACTCCTTTACCTTCCTTAGTGGAAGGCCTGGGGCAGCTTCTTACAAGTCTCAAAATGCATTTCCTTCTCCACAAAAGGGAGGTCAGCTCCTTTGCTAATGGGTATGCAAGCCCTTGTGGCTCTGGCTGCATTGGAGGAGGAGTCTCAGCAGAAGGTTGAATTCTTGTGAATCTTAGGGTTTGCATTGGGGACTTAAAGGACTAGCTGGTGCACACTGTCTCTTTAGGACTGATGCTTGGAGGTAGAGTACCAGGGTTCATTCCCCGGTGTCAGCAAGTAACTAGATGATGTCATCTGAAAACCTGAGTCCTGGCAGGTTCTATTCCAAGGATTTGAGAAGGTTAAATTAAATGAGTTGATGTATGTACCATGTTTACCCATGCCTGACACGTTAGCCTTGATGACGTTAGCTGTGACGTTAGGACACATTCTTATTTGTGGAACACCCTTCTTAAAAATAAAATTGTTTACTTTGCAGATTTTTTAAAAAATGGATTTGACCAACCATGGACTTATTCTACTGCAGCAGTTAAACGCTCAGCGAGAGTTTGGTTTCCTGTGTGACTGCACGGTTGCAATCGGCGATGTGTACTTCAAGGCACACAAATCAGTTCTCGCTTCATTCTCCAATTACTTTAAGATGTTGTTTGTCCATCAGACCAGGTAACTAAAGCGGTTGATAATAATCTAACGGCTGTAGCCCTCCTGACGCTGGGTCCCTCTTCCCACTGAGTGCTGTCTTTGCTTCATCCAGACTTCTGGTCTCTGCCTCTCCCAGGATCTAGGTGCCCACCCCACTCCCTTGCTACCCCAAATGTCCCCTGCCTTTCTTGGCTACTCATTTGATTAGCACTTGAGAATCACCTACCCGCCTGGCTCCTTGCAGCCCTCCAGCCGCCTTCCTGCCTGATAGGCAGTGACAGCCTGGAGACCAGCCCCTGTCAGTAAGCCTCCTGCTCCTTTAGGCCCAGTCCCTGACTACCCTGAATTTGAATACTTTACTTAGTTTTAAATGAGAAGCTGGAGGGCACACATTCCCCAGTTCCCTCTTTTCTAATGTAAACTCTGTCTTTGCTTGTTTTTCATTTGATTTCTCCTAAGTATCTTAGAGAAAAGAATCTGTGGGTGTGTGAGGAAATAGCCCCCTTCCCCTTTTCCCCTCCCCCATCTCTCCATCTTACCCTGTTCTTTCCTCCTCTTCTCCCCCCCACCCCCACCCCTTGCTCTTGGCAGCCGACTCCTTGACCTGGCACCCCCGGGGCAGCCCTGTTCGCTGTTCTCCTTGAACCTTCTTAGAAGGGTACCTGCGCCTCTGTTGACTTTGCTCATCCCACACTCTTCCTGTCCATTTGCTCTGTGGTTTTCCGTCTCCACTGCAGTCGTGTCCCAAAGGGCACCTCTCCACCACACTGTCCTCCTGCAGGCTGTCCTCCTGTCCACCTCAGTCCTCACCTGTGGCCAAATGTCCCTTGTTTTTCAAGGGGTGCTGGGACACCGGCCTTGGGCCTCCTGAGCCCCTGCTGTCCTTGCACAGTGTGGTGGGTGGGTCATCTTCTTGGACCTTTCCTTGGCTGGTGGAAGCAATTTAATCTCAGCTCTGGCCTCCATCTTTCTGTCTGCAGAACCCTGTTCCTAAGTACCCTGCCCTGGCCTCCTGTTGGCCATGTAAACCTGACTGTCCCTGCTCTGCTTTTTCTCATTGCACATGGATAAAACTGAACTAAGCCTCTCTCCAAAACGATCCCTGGCTGGCCTGTTTTCATCCTTAAGCAGCCCGAGCTTCAGATCTATTTCAGATCGTGTCTTACTGAACCCCCGGTCCTATCTCTTCAATACTTGTCCCATGTTCCCTGTCGCTTCTTTCTCGTTCACTGCCCATATCGATGTCAGATTAGTAACCATAAAGACCACTTGGGGGAGGTGAGCTTCGACCAGAAGGTCCCAGAGTGCAGCCCCTTCCACTGCCCACTCCCCGTCTTCCCTCATCCTTGCCCTCATCCTAGTATAGTAGCCGAAATCATCAAGGATGACTATGTTGTGCTACTTACAGGAGCTCTGCATTTCCTCTAAATTGCTTTCTGTGTGTTCACCCCCTCCCCTCACTTGTAGTGGCAGAGCTGAGTTTTACAGATCTGCTGCGACACCACTGGGTATGGTATAGCCACTTGATGAACATCTGGAGGAGAGAAAGGTCAGCAGCAGTTGCCTTAGCACTGAGTTGTCTTACAGCACTGCGAATGTGAGATGTATTCCTGTGATCTTGGCACAGGAGGCTGAGGCAGGAATTTATATGTATATAGAAATATGTATTTGCCATCCTTTAACATCGTAATGTTAAAGATGTTACTTGCAGCCATTAATTCAATAAGTGAAACAAACGATCTTGAAAAAGAAATGTCTTTAATTTTGAAGTGTAAAAGACAATGCAATGGATTTTCTTTAGATGCAAGAAATGTCCCTTATTTAAAGTATAGGGCAGTGAGAAAATGTCTTTCTAACAAAGGGATGTCTTTGTATCTGAGATCACCCACTGGGTGGCCATCCTTGTACACATCTGTGTGCAGAATTCAGGTTCACTGCCACAAACCCAGCTGAGACCAGCATGTTTTTAGCCAGCACTTCCTGCCTCCTGCCAGAGGCCCTGACCCACCTCTAGGTAAGGCCTGAGCCCCGGGGCTGGGGGTGGGGGGAATCCTTGCAGCTTTACAGTGCACGTCCTCTAGTTGCCACCAGGTGTCTCCACCTCTTCTCTGTAGACTGAGCGCTGAGCACGAATGAGCTGCAGAGGTGGGGGCCTGCGCCTTAATCCAGCACTCGGGGGCAGTGGCAGTTGAATCTCTGTGAGTTCAAGATGGGCCTCATTTACACGATGAGACCCTGTCTCAAAAAAAAAAAAAAAAAAAAAAGCATTATTTAAAACGCTTATTCTAAAATTCTAGCGAAGGAGAAGCTGAAGGTGAAATTACTGCTTGTAGCTGTGCTAACACTCCTTTGCCCTTCTGCCTGGCAGATGTCTGTATATCAGAGCTTAGGTGGAACTGATTTTATGAACTATAAAAGAGAAGTAACAGTCTGGCCCCTATCACGTAGGGTGGATAGAAAAAAAAGTGGCTGACCAGCCCCGAGTGAAAGGAAAGGAGCACAGGATTCCAGTAGCTGGAACGACACAGAAAGAACTGTGTGTGTGTGTGTGTGTGTGTGTGTGTGTGTGTGTGTGTGTGTGT